GGCCCGCAGCAGCCGCAGCACTGGCGGAAGCCCTGAGCCACCCTGGCATGGCTGGTGTCCCCGTCCTCCTCCTGGCCAACAAGCAGGAGGTGCCAGGAGCAATGGCTCCTGCTGAGCTGGAAGTGAGGCTGCGGCAGGGGCGACTGGCGGGGCACCGGTGGGTGCTCCAAGGGTGCAGTGCCCACAGCGGCCAGGGCCTGCAGGAAGCCCTGGCCATCCTGGGGGAGCTGCTGCGGGGTCTGAAGCAGAGCTCCCCATCCCAAGAGCAGCCTCTCACGGGGCCAGCAGGGAGGAGGCAAGCTCCAGAGGAGACCTGAACCTCAGGTGGACCCTTCCTACTCGTCGCTGCCAGAAGGTTTGTCACAAAGGATCCCAGCCTCCAGGTACCCCCTAAAATGAGCTGGCATGCCCCGCAAAGCACCCAGCCACTCACCACCAGAACCTGCCAAGAAGTCCTCTGAGCAAAACTCCCATCGTTAAGCATTTTGGGCCATGTCTCTTGGACCCTTATCACCAGCTTCAGCTTGCTCTGCTGCCACTAAGCTCTGCTCATCCATTGCATGCATGTCCAGTGCTTCAGCAGTGATGCTTTTTGCCGAGGCACTATAAATTATAACAGAGATGTACATAAGAGACAGAGAAGCTTTCTTCTCTCTGCAGCTCCCAATCCAGATGCAGCTGTCCTGATGGGGTGATCACCACAGGGGGGTGTTTGAATGTGCCCCATGCGGCTTCTCTCACAGCTTGAATCACATGGTCATCATCTGGAAGAGCAGGCAGACACCAGAAGGAATGGCTGAGCACGAGCAGTGTAAGCGCAGGACTTTGAGTGGCCAACAGCTGATTGGTTTTAGTGCAGCGTCTACAGGTATAATTTTCAAGCTACAGAAGCAAGTCAGGATTCGACAGAATAATGCCGTTTGAGGATGTGTATATATTAATTTCTGTGTTTCTTGGTTTTAGCCTTTCTTTTCCATTTGTTATCTTTAACAAATACCGATTTCATGAAAATGGTACCTCATTTTCCTTGGATTGCATTTAAATATAAAGAACTCAAATTTGACTTATAGATGCTTAGAAACATATCTTCATGGCCAGTCAACCTCTCAATGTCCTCATGGTGGCCTGAACAGCCAAAACAAAGTCTCATCTCTCAGAGTTTTTGAAACTGGATAAGACCACTCTACAGGCAGTGGCTGGGAGGCATGA